TGGGTTCGAGGCTTGGTCTGTTACCAGAGAGCACAGGGAACGTGACCGGTCTTTGCGAGGTACGGTTCTGACCTCACATACAACCTGTACGTTTTCTGTGCGTCTCTGCAGGCGCAGAGAGTAATGCTGTTTTGTCATCATGAAGGAACAAGGTGAAATCCACCTTCGGTTTATCCATCTTCAAGTCCCACAGGTTAAACACACTTTTAGATACTATTTATATTTGTGTGTAAATATTAAAAACCAGCCATTAGTAACTTTTAATGCACCTTTGTTGGTTACGTGTTGCTGACTGTTGCTAGTTGATTGGTCTTGGTGGTTCATTCATCACTGGGATGTTCATCACTGTGGTGCCTGGGTACTTACTGAGGTTATGTTTATAAGAATAACAATAAAACTCAATTTGAACGTTCAGAGTGGGAGACTTGCTTGATTCAATTTTGGTAGCTCCCAATGGGGGAGTGCTTTCTTGGCCAGGATAGATGATGCTGTAGACGAGTCTCGTCGGTACAGAACGGCTCGGAAGAACCTCTCTTCCTCTGGGTGGTAGGATGATAGTATACAATTTATTTTGGTATTTACATTGTATAATGTTCTACAGTGGGCCTGTGTTGCTTTTTTTGTTATAAGAAAAAACATATGAATGTACAGTACTTCACAACTCATTGCTAAAGTTGTTATTTATTTATTTAGTCTTCTAAGTAAATAAGCAGGCGCTGACTATTCAGAAGTAAACATGACATCTTCTGAGGCCTATGCTTCCGCAGTATAATTTCCAAAATGATCTCAGTCGTTTTTTGACAGATCACAACCTCAATTCCACTGAGACATGGTTTTTAACTTAGTTTTGTCGTTTTGGAAATTACTGCATATGCTGGACTTGGGTTGATTTTTGTATCCAGACTTGTGGCGTTTTCTGTCCACGTGATGGAAGGCTGCGGCTCATCCGCTGGCCGTCTGTGTGCTGTGTTCTGTGAGGCCAGCAGATGGAGCTAGAGCTCAATGCATCCCGCGGGGACCTGGCGTTCTGTCTGGTGTGGTTTAGTTTGGTTTTAAACTAAACATTTGGGGATTATTAAATAATCTTTGTTTAAATTCAGATACTTCTTGCAGGGAGAGGCATTGGCTGTCTTTCAAAAAGTTGTCATCGATGCTGATTTAGACAAGCTACAAGGCTACTGGATTTTTAAGGTTCTGCCGTACTGGAGCATGTAATCTGAACGCTCCGAAGTGGAGAAATCCGACTAATACTTCTCCTATTTTACAGGTTCATATGTAATAAGTACAGGCAGTGTCAGCATGTCATGTGTACGAGCCTTAGTTTTTAACTTAGGAGAGTTTTATCAAAGTCACAGAATATTCGTGGGGACACTTATGTGTATAAGTCTGACGTATGTTTGTAAGATGCCAGAAAGTTCCTAAGTCTTAGTGGCTGAGAACATGATTGCTTCCTGGGAATGTGTGAGGGACCTGCTCTTTTTCCGAATATTAGATGTGCTCACGGTAGCTTTCACTCCCTATCTGTCGCAAAGGTGATAAATTAGCATGAGTTAAGTCTGAAGCGTTCACCTTTATTTATTCTGGTTAATGAACTTAACTTTTTGCATTTAATTGTTTGGACTTTGGGAAATAAAAACGCTGTGTGCGGATGATTTTCCTATTAGGTAGGAGAAAATCATCAACTCTCAGTTTCTTTGTGTTAAGTGTTTCTTGCAAAAGTAGATCAGCCACGCGCAGCTTAAGGACACGTGCGGAAGAGCGCGACGTCGGTCGATGTCGGGTGTGCGAAGTCGTGGGGTGTCCCCACTCACACCCCCGGGTCACCGGCCTGTGCGCCCTCCCTGGGACCCGGCGCGAGATGGCTGCACGCGGAGGAAGGTCCAGGAGACACGAGCCTGTGAGGCTGCAGGGCTTCGCGTGGCCTCTGGTCCGCAGCACTCTTACTTAAATGTCGGGGAGCACCCCTAAAACAACAGGAGCACAGTGAGTACCTGAAGCGGCACTGCAGTCGTTCAGTGTCCCCTGCCGCCCAGCGCCGCACACTGTGCCATCCTGCGGCGGGGCGGGGCGGGGGCGTGGGGCGCTCGGGACGGGGGCGCGTCACCGGTGTCCAGCTGCTGCCTTGGCGGCGTTGTCTTCGCTCTGGACTTCCAGGGAGGAGTCCAGTTCCTAGTTTCCACCGCAGAAAGGGGTCCGCGATCGGAAAGGTGAGCTCTGGACGTGGGTATGTTTGCAGATCACAGCAACGGAAGCCCCTTTGTGCTGAATGACAGTGGATCGTGTCAAATTGAGAAAAGAACCCCGGCCCCGATGAAGAGTGCAGCGGACGGGAAGCCTCCAGGGGGTCGGTTCGCAGCGTCCCCGAAGCCCCCCCGCCTGGCCACTCGGGTCTCACTGAGGCTGGAGCCTGAGCCGTGCACCGCGGGAGCGGGACCTGCGTGGGCGCGGCGAGGGGCCTGGCGGTCCAGCCCCGCCCAGCTCTGCCGCCCTCTGCCCTGTGGCGCAGGGGCGCGGAGAATCTTAAGTCCCACAAGGGGGTTGAGTTAAACATAGGACATTTAAGGGTCCCTGTGTGCCTTCAAGAAAATAGAATATGCAGAAGAGTAGGAATAGAAAATCATGGAGAACCTTTCTGCGTTCACACTGTTCATCGTGCGGGGTGCTTCTTGGCAGTTTACTCTCCCCGCCTGTGTTTGCTCATTGTTTCGATGCGTGTTTGATGCCGTGTGTGCAGGTTTCTGCGGCACAGGCTTTTCTGGTGTAATTAGTGATAACACTTCTCTAGGGAAAGGGTTGGGAGCTGAAGGGTTGGGCAACGTGTTCTTGGTCGGGTCTCCTCGCTGGCCGGTGGAGGTACCGACAGCTTGGGGGACCCCATTTCTCTGTGTTCTTCTCCAGACCCATGAATTAGGGGTGCGTCCTGTTTCATGCAGCAGGAAACAACCACAGAGTTGAAATCCCTTTCCAGGTGCTCAGAGCAGCTGGGTGCGCACCAGGCCAGACAGACATAGAAACATAGCAGTTAGAATATAGAAACATAGCGACAGCAGTGTAGAAACGTAGCAATAGGATAGAAACGTAGCAATAGGAATGTAGAAACATAGCGACAGCAGTGTAGAAACGTAGCAATAGGGATGTAGAAACATAGCGATAGCAGTGTAGAAACGTAGCAATAGGAATATAGAAACATAGCGACAGCAGTGTAGAAACGTAGCAATAGGAATATAGAAACATAGCGACAGCAGCGTAGAAACGTAGCAATAAGAATATAGAAACATAGCGACAGCAGCGTAGAAACGTAGCAATAGGAATGTAGAAACATAGCGACAGCAGTGTAGAAACGTAGCAATAGGAATATAGAAACATAGCGACAGCAGTGTAGAAACGTAGCAATAGGAATATAGAAACATAGCGACAGCAGTGTAGAAACGTAGCAATAGGAATGTAGAAACATAGCGACAGCAGTGTAGAAACGTAGCAATAGGAATATAGAAACATAGCGATAGCAGTGTAGAAACGTACCACTAGGAATGTAGAAACAGCAATAGGAATATAGAAACATAGCGACAGCAGTGTAGAAACGTAGCAGTAGGAATATAGAAACATAGCGACAGCAGTATAGAAACGTAGCAGTAGGAATATAGAAACATAGCGACAGCAGTGTAGAAACAGCAATAGGAATGTAGAAACATAGCGACAGCAGTGTAGAAACGTAGCGATAGCAATATAGAAACAGCAAGAGGAAACTGAAAGAGAAACACCTAGAGGAAAAAGTGACAGGCAAACTGAGCAGGCATCGGTGATATCATGCTCCGGAAGGAAGGGGTGTTAAGAAATGTATTTAAAAAATTAATGGCAGGAAAATGTCAAGATTAGGTGGACGCTCTAAACCCGCTGATCCCAGAAGCTCAGCCAGCCCCATGGGCGAGAGTCCTGTGTACGAGAAACCACGGGCACCTGAAGCTGCTCAGCCCGGGCGATAGGGAGAGAAGCTCAGCCGCACTCAGGAAAAGACGAGTAAGAGCAGAGGAGCAGGGGTAGCACGCAGTGGATTTCTTGCGGGAAGAAAACGCAGCCAGATGACAAAGACGTGCCGTCCTAAATCCAGCGGGAACATTTCCCCAAGACAAAGGCGAAATAAAGACCGTGTCAGAAACAAAAGGCAGAGGTCCATCTCCAGCAGACTGCGCCTCGAGGAGCAAGTCCTGTCGGCGGCAGCGGAGGGAGGAGAGGGGAGCCCGGTTTCCCTGCACCGGCGGCGCCCTTTGGGGATAGACAGAGACGGTTTCCTTTGCTGTAGGTCCTCGTAAAAGGAGATTGGCTGTTTAAAGAAAAAACAGCGACCCTGTGAGTTTCGTAACACGCGTGAGAGAAGCATGTGACCGCGGGGGAACGGAAGGGGAGCACGCGGTGTGGGTGCTCGTGCTGCCCACGGAGGGGCCCGTGGAAAGCACCCTGTGATGGCTCAGGTGTGACGACCCGGCGGCCCTCAGCGAGGAGGCGTGGCCCGCGAGCAAGTAGCGGAAGCCAAGTGAACCGCAGCAAAGCGTGAACGCGGCCGAGCGCAGGAAAGGGTGCGGGAAGACAGAGCAGTGATGGAGAGAAAGCCCAGCAAGGTGACAGACTTACCCCCGAGCACATCGGTGAGCACCAGTGGTCCGGACGCCCCAGTGAGGAGCCAGAGGGTCCCGTTGAGCGCGGAGACACAGCGCACGCTGCCCAGGAGCTCGTGCCAGCCAGAAGGACGGTGCTCGGTGCACAGCAGCAGGAGGAAGAGACGCACTGTGCTGACTCCAGCAGAGAGGCCAGAGCGGCCCGGTACTGTCAGACTCGGGCACGGCCAGAGGTGCTTCACCTCGATGAAGGGCTCCCCCATCACGGGAACATGATGAGGACCATCTGCCGGCCTAATGCATACCTTGGACACGGGAGCGGAAACTTACAGAAGTGGAAGGACTGATAGTCAGAATCACAAGTGTATTCAGAGGGATCTGTGTCCCCGTTTCAATAATTGCTAGAACACATAGAAGAGAGAAGACGACGGATCCGGAAGGGCTGAGTGACACTCTCGGGCAATGTGGCCTCATTCGCGTGTGTTAGGACACCTGCCCAGCGACCGCGGGACACACCTTCTTCTCGGGGCCTGCCCAGGGCCTGTGGACGTCTCCTCACTTTCAGAAGGACTCAGGTCCCCCGAGATGCGCTCTCCGATAATGACACTTGAATGGGGACCTGTGACCGAGGCCTATCTGGGAAACCCCTCGAGCCCTCGGAAACCGAGCACTGCGTTTCACCGTGAGGCCGAAGAGGAGGCGAAAGGGAAGTACTTTGAACTGAACGAAAATGGGAAAAAATCATTTCAAAATGTTCGTATCACTAAAATGCGTGTTTTAGAAAATAAAAAAGGGCTTGAGTTGGTTCCCACAGTTTCCTCCTTAAGAAACTAGAAAGAGCCCTGGCCGGTTTGGCTCAGCGGTTGGAGCGTCGGCCTGCGGACCAGAGAGTCCCGGGTTCGGTTCCCGCTAGGGGCACGTACCAAAAAAAGAAACTAGAAAGAAAATGTCTGGTCGGTGTGGCTCAGTGGTTGAGCGTCGACCCTGCACCAAGAAGTCGCTGGTTCGATTCCCAGTCAGGGCACATGCCCAGGTTGTGTGCCTGATCCCCAGTGGGGGCGTGCAGGAGGCGGCCAGTCGGTGTTCTCTCTCATCAATGTTTCTCTCTCCCTCTCTCTAAAATCAATAAAGGAAAAAAAAAAAAGAAACTAGAAAAAGGAGAGCCAGTCGATCCCGGAGTGAGAAGACGGGAAGTCACAGGTGACAGGAGACATTGTGAGACAGGAAACAAAAACAACCGTGAGAAGGTCACATAATGGACAAGCAGCAAGAAGATGCCACGGTCAGTGTCGGGAAGGGTGGTGATATCGCCGCACCCGAGAGCGTCAGAAGGACGGTCGGTGGGCATCATGAGCATCGTTGTCCCAGTAAATCCAACCATTTAGAGGGGGGGAAACTCCCCGAACGGCAGGAATTCCCCAGCCCCCTCAGACATTGTGGAAATGCCACACACATCCCCCTAAATGACACTCGAGGCCGAGAGGTGCACCATCAGTTCTACTCAACATCGAAGGAAGAAACGGTATCAATTCCACAGACTTCTTCAGAGAATCGAAAATGGGGGGCACGTCCCAACTCCGTGAGGCCGGTGCCATCCTGATGCCAGAGCCCGACCCCACAGGGGTACCGGCCGGGCCCTCCGGGGCGGTGTTGCTCGCCTTCCAAGCGAAGTTCCAGTGGATCAAGCATGGCAGTGTGTAAGAAGGACAATAGACCGTGTGACTTTTGGGAAAAAAAAACGACAAATGATCTGTCATAGTCACCTGCTAAAAAGACACAGGAGGAGGGCTGGGGAGCGTGAGGGGAGGGCAGTGATGACGCAACGGGAGGAGGAAGCGGGTGGGCGTGTTCATTGCCTGGATTATGGTGACCCTGCCACGGGGGTGCCTGCGTCAAAACCCATGCGATGCTGCACTTGGCGTGGTCTGTGTCAGTTGTGACTTGGTAGCTTAGTTAACGCTGTCTGTGTCGTGGTCTCCTCCCTTTTGCCCTGACGGCCAACGGTCAGTGCTGAGTCTGCTTCTTGGGTTTGGCCCGTGAGCGTCCACTGAGGGTTTCCTTGTTAACGTCTGGTGACTGAGAAGGTCGTGTTTGTTCCTGCGGCGCGGACTGGCCTCCGGCCCTGCAGCCCGCGCTGCAGAAGCTTCGTGGGGCTCAGCTCGAGGGGTCTGACTCAGTCTGCGGGCACCCGCAGAGCAGACCAGAAGCGCCGGGAGTCAGGGCCCTGGTCTGGAGCACGGCGTCCTGTCGGGACGACAGCCTTGCTGTGTCCCAGCTGTGGGGCCAGAGTCGGTTTCTGTAAACTGGAGGGCCGCCTGGTCACGAAGGGTCCGGGTGGTGTCCTGACGCATCTGGACTGTGCCTGGGACATCAGGGGCGTCAGTGGTGCATGATGGTTTTCCTTCCTTTTCTGAAGTGTTGTGAAATGTGTCTTTGGAATAAAACTATCTTGTGGACATCACCACACTAACTTTCATCTTTTCCACACACATGACTTCAAACTGCGGCCTCTGTTCTTTATCCAGACGGAGCAGCACACAGCAGAACCAGGGTTCTCCAGCTCGAAAGCACGGTGATGTGCCGTGTAGTGGCTCGGACACACGGATTCTGGTCGCACCTGCCGTCGGGAACTAACCTGCTTGGAAGCCTCACGGAGGGAAGATGCCGTTGAGCCAAGTTGAGGCCAGAGACCGGGCACTGAAGTCTGTGAGCCTGACGGGCAGGCACCGCTTTGGTGCGGCCCACAGACCTGAGCACAGGTGTGTTGATGGCGCCTGTACCCAGCACCCCCCGGGGACCCGCCAAGTTCGGTACAGGAGCTAATCCTCGTGTGTGGCTGCCCCCTGTGGATGTGGCCGTCACCAAAGCAGAGTCACTAGGTGCTTTTCTGTGTGACAGGTGTGCTGATGGCCCTGCGTGTTTTCACTCACGTCTCAGTCCTGCCGTGCAGGAGGGAAGCCGGGGCTCAGCCGCATGGAGCGCAGACGGGCTGGACCCCGGGCCTCCGAGACGCTGGGTGGTGCCATCAGCACCCAGGAGCCCCTCCGGTCAACACAGTGAAGCGACGCACTGTAATCACAGCCCCTTCGGACAGAGAAGAGAGTCAAGATGTTGAAGGTCTGGAGAGACGAAAAGTACTTCAGGACAATTTTTATTTTAAAAAGTTCCAATGACAGTTTTTCCACGGAAAGATGTAAGATGTTTTCTAGAAGAGCTTGTAAAACCACCTTTCCTGCTGAGACAAGTGTGTTGTCCGTGTCACTGAATCTGCCTACATTTTGGAAAAAGAAACTGCACGTTGACTCTGTTCATCCCGTCGCCCTGCCTGCCGGAGGAGGTCGGTTTTTCCACGCCGTTCCGGACGGGCAGTGGCCGCCTGAGACGTGCGTCGATTGGTGAGCGCCATGTCGGTTCCCGAGCGCCCGGTGCGCGTCCGGGTGCCTGGAGCTGAGCGCGGAGGCTTGCGTTCTGCTCGCTCGCTGGCTGCTGCGTCGCCACAGCAGGGACCGCCCGCACCTGGGAGACCGCCGGGAGAGAACGCACCTGCCCGCTGCCCAAGCACTGAGTTCTAATCATGCCGCCGTTTTATGTCTGACTCTGGATCGTATCAGTTTTATAAAGATCATAGCCAACAATTTGAAAATCAGTTTTCAATGTCAGTGTTTTACCATTAAAACGTCGGCACTGTCAGGCCAAGTGCTGTCTCAAGGACACACCCGAAGTTCTCTTTCTAAATCTACTCTTAGTTGCTTTTCACTGGGGTTTTCTCCCAGGGCAGAGTATGCGCGAGAGGGAGAGGCTGTGTGAGTCGCCCACCCTCTCCCCTTCTCTCTCCCCCTTGGAGGTGCTCACTGAACGTCTGGGACGTGGCACTTTTTAAAACTGCCGCGAGTTAGCGCTGCCCAGGCCCCCGCGTGACCCGCCCGTGCTGCTGTCGTGTTGGGCGGCCCCGTGACGAGCAGATGAGGTTGCTTCATATCTTAAATCACTAGAAAAGTGCTTGGCATATAAGGGCTCAATAAATGCTAATTATTACTTTCAGGGTTTTTATGAGGCTTAAATTAAATGAGATTACGCATGTAAAATGTTTAGTGGAGTACCCAGCATTTACCGAGTGCTCCCTGAACGCTGGTGACTCTCGTTTACATCTTCAGGGGCCAATGTGTCTCAAGCGTCTGTGTCCTTGGGTCTCTGCAGACGTCACCTCTTCCGTGAATTTATTTCGGGGCACGAGGAAGAATCCATTCCTAAGTTGGCCAACAGAGCACTCCTTTCTGACTCCTACGGGGAGGTCATTTGTTAGCCACTGTCTGGGAGTTTGCGCTCATGCTGAAGCCTGTCTCTGTGCCCGCAGGTCTGTGGAACCTCGCCTCGCTCTTCTCCAACCTCTGCCTGTTCGTCCTGATGCCCTTCGCCTTCTTCTTCCTGGAGTCAGAAGGCTTCGCTGGCCTGAAGAAGGTGAGTGGCCACGTCGGAGCCACGTCCGCTGCACGGAGATCCCTCCCTTCACGCGGAGCCCAAGGGACGGGCTTCGGCAGCCGTTTGCCTGGAATGTGACGAGTGTAACTGATAACAGCGTCTTGTTAAAATCATCATTAGCGTTAACGGTGACCTCAGTACGATCGCCCGTGGAGTGACTGTGCCGGTCCACAGGGACCAGGTTGTCTCTGACCTTTGGAGGCTCCCGTGGGCTGTGCCAACTTGGGGGAGCACCCTGTGTGGACGGGGCGCCTGGCTGGCTCCTGCCCTCTGGTTTCAAGCGTGGCACGGGATTCTGAACTCAAGTCTGCCTGGATGTGAGTTAGTCACAGCGGTGTTTCAGGGTGGGGCATTTCACAGCATCCGGCATGCTCCCTCAGACAGACCCCGGGCGACTGCCGTGGGCGAGCTGGCGGGGGGCCCACAGGGGCCTCGCGAGAGCATCTCCGTCAGTCAGACTTTCCGGTGGGTGGTCACGTCCCCTGTCCTGCAAAGGGAAGGGAACGGGATTTTTGTTTACAGTTTGTGGAGCTCTTTGCTATACACGTTTGGGGTATAATGCAAAGATTGAGGTAGCTAGTACTTTTGGGGCGACTTTTATTTTTTTAAATTTTTTTATCCTCACCTGAGGACATTTTTTTTTTTTTTTTTTTTGCATTTATCTTGAGAGAAAGAGGAGGGAGGGAGGGAGAGAGAGAGGAACATCGATGTGAAAGCGACACATCAAGTGGTTGCCACCCACACAACCCCAACCAGGGCCAGAGACAAACTACAACCGAGGTACGTGCCCTTAGTGGGAACCGAACCCGGGCCTCTCTGGTCTGCAGGCCGGTGCTCCAACCGCTGAGCCAAACCAGCCAGGGCGACTTTAATTTTTTATTGACTTTCGAGAGAGAAGAAGGGAGAGAGAGAGAGAGAGAGAGAGAGAGAGAGAGAGAGAAACTGTGATGTCGAGAGAGACATCGATCGGTTGTATAAACTCAGACCAGGAATCAAACCCGCGACCTTCTGGTGCGCGGGATGACAGGCCAACCAAGCAGGGCTTGGGTGACTTTCACAGTTGACAAAGTGAGGGTCCGTGTCAGTTTGTTCACAGACACAGCACGCCTCCTAATGCCCAGTTCTGCTCACACTGTGACACGTGAAGTGAGCTGTCTGTGTCTTGTTGAACTGGGACGTCACGCAAGTAAGTCTGGCCTGGACGTGGTGACCTCTGTGTACTTTCTCTGTGGGTTCTTCGGAGTGGGGCTGCGTGGCGAGCATGCGATGGCCGTGCACCCTGGGGGGCCCGGGAAGGGGCACCGAGGGTGGCGTTAGGGTGAGGTGTCCGTGGCCTCGCCTCTCTGGGTTCCGCTCTCAGTCCACACTTCAGTCTGCAGCTCACGCTCGGAGTTGGCCTCGTGTTCAGGAAATGCTCCGAGCTCTGGATGGCAGTCAAGCCCAGTGTTGAGAAAACTGGCTTTTATACCTGGGAAATTTTTTTTTTTTGATGACGATTTATCTAAACTATCTGAGCCATCTATGTGATGGGAAAAATGGCATTGTTTCAGTTTATTTATTAATTTTTCCCCCCTTTATTGATTTTAGAGAGAGAGGAAGGGAGAGGGAGAGAGATAGAAACATCGATGAGAGAGAACATCGACTGGCCGCCTCCTACTTGCTTCCACTGGGGATTTGGCCCACAACCGGGGCATGTGCCCTGACCAGGAATTGTTTGGTGACCTCTTGGTGCAGGGTCGACGCTCAGCCACTGAGCACACCAGCCAGGTGACATAGTTCCAGTTTACAAGCTCTTTGCTGATACTTTCTTGGAGGAATGATAGGAACTGTTGTTGCTAAAAGGGATTTTGTTCAGATCCCTTTTACAGGAGAACTCTGAGGTCCAACGATATTAACTGTCATCACTGGCCATGAACCACACGTGCAGCTGCAGGCTGCACAAACCAGGGTTCCTCTGAGCTCCCAGTGTCCGTGTTGGCGCGTCAGCACCGTGCAGAGCGCAGTGAGGGCCGCAGGTGGGAGGTGGCCGGGGATGAGTGGGGCGAGGGCCGTGGCGGCCGCCTCCGGGGCGACGCTGAGCTCGGCGTGAGGACGGGCGGGGCGGCCTCCTGGACCCCGCAGGGATGCCAGACGGGCATGCCAACCACAGCGCTCTGGAGGGGCCAGGGAGAGTGAACAGGGAGGAGAAAGGAGGTCGTCGGCGACATTGAGAAACCGATTCTGTAGGATGTAGGGGCCTTTGATGGACGGTCATTCACTTGACAGAGTCTTACTACGCATGTGCTGAGTCCTTACTGGGACCACACTACTACAGGAGCTTGCGGGGGGCAGAAAGGAAAGGAGGCTCCTGCCAGGAGGTTGTCAGAGGAAGAAATCAGGCAGGAGAGCAGCCCCAGGGGAGAAGGACTGGGGTGCAGGTCGCCATGGAGGCCCCGAGGGCCCCAGTGCAGGTCCTGGTTCCCTGGGCGGTGGCATCGCGACCCCTGCTCTGGAGCTGGGACGTGACGGCCTGCAGGCCTTGCCAAGTGGGTTCCAGGCTCCAGCAGGGGCGTGGGTCCCGCTGCGCCGCGGGAATGGCCGGTGCGGAGAAGGGCGCGCGGTCCAGGCCGCCGGGTGGTTTGGATTTTATGCAGAGATGGCAGGGGGCGCGCACAGGATTTCTGAAAAGGAATCTTGCATCTTCTGTTTTATTTAAAGACGTTTGGAAATCAATGCACACGTGTCCCTGAGGGATGGTGAGGTGTCCTGTGTGCAGGCGCCGCCCTGTGTATGCCTGTCGCCGCCCGGCCCTGTCATCCAGCCCCCCGCACGGCACGTGTTGCTGCGACTGTGCGGTCTTTGGCGTCCCTGTGAATAGGCGGAATGTTCTCTTCCGGTCTCTGCCTCGTGTGCATCCGCCTACGTGCGGAAAACCACTCGGAAGTCTCGTGTCCATTCTTCTCACACTTGGTCCCATAGTGAGGCTGCCCGGGATGGTTACCACTGACCTGACGCGCAGGTGTGGAATGGACGGGGCTGCAGAAGCCAAATGAAGGAGCCTGGTCCTTGGTGCTGGTAGGCGGAGGGGGCTGCGGGCTGGACGACGTGCGGGGGGATGTGCGTGCGGGGGCTGCGGGCTGGATATCGTGCGGGGAGGATGTGTGTGCGGGGGCTGCGGGCTGGATATCATGCGGGGAGGATGTGCGTGCCGGGGGCTGCGGGCTGGATGTCATGCATGCGGGGGGGGGGGATGTGTGTGCGGGGGCTGCGGGCTGGGGGCTGGATGTCATGCATGCGGGGGGGGGGATGTACGTGCCGGGGCTGCGGGCTGGACGACATGCGTGGAGGATGTGCGTGCTGGGGGCTGCGGGCTGGGCGTCGTGCGGGGTGGATGTGCGTGCGGGGGAAGGGCCGCGGAGGGAGAGCCAGCGTGCGAGCAGAGCCGGACTGCGCGGCCTCAGGTTTCTGCCATCGGGGTGTAGGATGACGTCCCCTCGCTCATTATTTAGAGGGTCGGACTAGAGGGGGTTCGTGGAGGGCAGAGCCCACAGCCAAGACCCAGCTGGTCAGTGTTAGGGGCTGTAGCCCCTACCCGAGGGTTGGGCGCGTCTGACTGCGAGTCCCCCGCAGGGCAGCTCGTGTGGGGTCGCCCGAAAGCCGCCGAGCAGCCAGCTCCGGAGTCTCCCCAGCTCTGGCGGTTCTGAGACGCGGAGCAGGATCCCGTTTTGAAATGGCCGAGGAGGCTGCGGCAGCGGCCTGGAGACCAGGTGCGCGGGCCGCGCGGGGAATGACCGCAGAGCTGAGTCCAGGCGGCCACCGCGTGCTCTTTCAAAGCCTCCGCCTCTCCAGTTTCACCTCAGTCGCACGAAGTTGTGATCCCAGCCCGGCCCCGACCACGCGCACCGCCGGCTGGGACGCACCGCGCGGGCGGCAGGTGCGGGCAGTCGGGCCCCTCGCTCCCCGCTCGCCGGTTCCGCCCAGCTGGCCGGCAGTACCTGCTGCCCCGCGTCCCCTTGACGCTCTGCTCTGGCGACGTGTGAGCCGGAGGCTCCCAGCGAGACCGAAGCGGGTTGGAAAACACCCGTCATGGGCAGACCCAGCGCGCGATTGGAGTGATGACCGGTTGTAATCCGGCCGAGTTAACGTCGCCCGTGTCCCCGGCCACCCTCCTGGTGCCCCTTCCCTGCGTCTGTCTGGCGGAGTCCCCGCGCGCACAGGGCCCCACCGTCCTCCCATCGATCCCCCTGGGCGGCCGACGTTAAAACGGCCCCATGCTACGGTGCCGAGATGCGGAAATTGGACACTCGCCACGGGCGATGCAGGGCTCGGGTTGGAATCAGACCGAGCAGAATCCTCGACTTCGTTTTTAATTAAACCACTGTGTTAATTCAAACAGGACATTTTAGGCCTGGGGGCTGACCATGGCCTTTCAAGGGCCTCAAGTAGCCTTTCTTCCCGTGCTGGGTCTGGCGTATGTTTCTATTTTAGGAGCCATCTCCTCGCGGGAACTGGTTTCGATAAAGCGGTTCTTTCAGCGCGAAGGTAACTTTCATCTCGGGACTGACTCCTGTTAGAAGTGGAATGTTCATCAATTTCAGATGATTCCCCGCCACCTCCCTGCACCGCACCGCGCCGGGCTTCCTGTGTCTGAGCTGACCCCGCACCTGCGCGTCTCAGCGCCCACACAAGGCTGGTCTGTGGTGTTTGCCTGTTTGGGGGGGCTCTTTCTCCGCAGTTTTTGTCTGGGTCGCTCAGGCAGACAGTGTGAGGGTGCGTTTCCCGGCTGCCCTGCAGGCAGCTGTGGGGCTTCTCTGCCCACTGCGCCTCCGCCGGGCCTCTGGGTTACCTGGGCGGCGTCCCGAGGGCTTTGCCCATCCACAAGGAGCCCCGAAGGTCGGCTCCTGTCCAGCGTTTGAGTGGGAATGAGGAAGGTGTTGGTCCCACAATGTGTTTTCACATCTCACTTCGAATTAAAATGTTACGCGGAAAAAAATTCAACA